TTTGTAAGAGGTCGTTGACTTGCTGCGCGTTTGACGGATTTCGTGCACTTTCTTCATTCCCTCCTATTGGCTTTGTTCCGCAAGACATCCGTTTTTAATCGTTTATCGACGTATGTACTGTTATGATTTGCTGTGCATTTTGTCGTAGTATAACTTTGAAAACTACATATTTTGTCTTTCGTGGCCCCATAAGGCTTGGTGCACAATTCATAAACTGGTCGAATCTAAGTCACTGATGCGTTTTCAGGTTCATGAAGACAACGATGCTGACGTTTCTGTAGAGGAAAACGAAGGTTCCGAGGTGGAAGAAAAGGATGATCAAGTGGAAAACGAGAAGGCCTCCTCTGATGAAGAAAAACTTGAAAAAGATCAGCCGAAATGCCAGAAGCCCTCGGCAAATGACGGTATTTCATCATACGCGAAAATTTTCGATCGAGAAAGAATTTTTAGACTTAAAAGATAATGAACACGAAGAATCTGTCTCTGAGGAAGATTCGGATGCAGTTGGTAGCGACGATGCCAAAGAAATAGAAAGGGAACACGCCAAAACCGGTAATAAAGCTAATAGTACTGCAACTACTGTTAAGCAGAAGAAAACTGAAGAAACTGAACAAAACGATGAGGATGCTGGAAGTGCAGATGAGGGGAACCAAGATAAAGCGAGCGAAGATGCTGAAGACGTGAAGAACTTGAAAATTTTGGATGCCGAACGTGAAAGCGAGAACAGTGTGGAGGAAGTGGAAGACGTTGAAGATGCTGAGGACTTGGAAGATGTTGAGGATATGGAGGATGAAAAGTCAGCTTATAAGTGACAGCTATTGTTTTATTTATTCTCAGAAGGGCATTTAAGTCTAAAACATGTAGTACACGATACTTTTGCTTCCGCTTAGTGCCTTTTCTCATATTTTGGTGCTATTTACTTTAATCTATGCATTTATTTTTTAAATTGCGTTTTCAGTTTGTTTGTCGTTGAAGTGAGTTTTAATTATTTATTATTCGTTGCGTGTATCTTTAGCAGTTCTGTTTTATTATTTATTTTTGTGTGCCATTGATCGATTCGTTTTACCGTGCAATTTTATTGTTGAAATTTACTTAGGAATGTTGATAAAAATGTGTACTTATTGTGCCTTCAGATGCTGCGAGTTCCACATAACATTCTCAGTTTTCATGTGGCTTTCATTTCGACATTCAACGGCACGATTTTGTCGACTGGTGTTCTCAGACCTTTGTGCGGCTTGACATGTGGTTGTTTTTCCAGATATGCAACATTATTAGTGTACAGATTTAAGGAGCTTTTCGCAAAATTTCCCGTATTTCAGCGATATTGAACAAGGATGTAATTTGCCCTTTTCCAGTATTGACCGGGATG